TGTTCCCCCCCCCCTGTTTGCCCCCCCAAAAAATTGGCCGGGGGGGGGAAATTTCGGCGGGGGGGGCCCCCGGGGTTTTCCCCCCAAGAGGGGGGGGGGTTAAAACAAAAGGGTCCCCCCCCAAGGGGCGGGGGGGGGGGGGGGGGGGGGGCGTACCCCTAGTCGTGCATCCAGTAGTCATTAGACCATTGGGGGGGGGGGGGATTACACGAGCGTAACCCCCGCCTGTGCGAGAAAGCCTTGGAGCTCCTTCTGGCCGGATGGTCGGCCGGCCAGAGCGGAGGCGATCATGTTGGGGTACTTGCCGGGTTGACTGGCGCACAGGTCCGCCAGCGACTTCGCGAGGAAGAGAGTCTCGCTGAACGTGAGCAAGAAGGGCGGACGGTGGGAGGGAGGGGGGGCGGGCGTCGATGTTGGTCCGGATCAGGGGACGGATGTGCCAGAAGGTCAACGTTTGGACCGAAAACAGGCCGACGTTTGGGACCTCCTCACGCCAAATGTGTAACAGATAGCTCATTCCTCGTTGGGCTATGCTGGAGAGAGAGAAGTCAGATATCAATGATCCCACTCAAGAAAAGTTCAAAATTTTCTCTACTTTTTGTACGGAGGAATTTACTGGAGAAGTCGAAGGTTGGGCGAGGGAAAAACGGATGCATTGAGCAATCAGCAAGAGCACATGGACACCAAAAACAACTAAAAAGGCTTCCTTTTCGGACGAGCGACACCAAAAACAACTAAAAAGGCTTCCTTTTCGGACGAGCGACGCACGTACGGCAGTGAACAATCGGCAAGAGCGCATGGTGATCCCAACAAGCAGCCCAACAAAGCAAAACGAACGTCCCCTGTTTACTGATGGCGACGGTTTTCACATGCTACCACATACGCATACCTGGCAACCTCGGGAACGGGGTCCTGCTCTCCGCTCCCCGTCATGCGCAGCTTCGAAAACGCCGAATCGAACGCGATTTCCTCCTGTACAGCACCAAGTCCCACGACAACAGAAATACCCCATTAATGCAAGGTCATCGCGCCGAGAAGGGTTGATCGATCTCTCTCTCAGCCGGTATCAGCTTGATTAGTCGACATCGTCGTCGCGTTCTGTACCCCGTTGTGTTCAATACAACGTTGGGATATATTTAGACCAACACGTAGAAAGAGAGAAGGCCTGTGTCCGCGCGTACGATCAAGGAACATCAAGACAACGTGTCACGATATTGTACTTTCAGTCAAAGACAACGTGAATGATAACTACCGTAAGCGACTGACCCACCTCGTCGTTGTCCTGGGCTTCTACCTCGTCCTTGCTCTTGCTCGCGTCCTCCGGTACCAACGTCTCCATGATGCACACCAGAAGCCCAGGCCACATTGTCGGGCTTTCCTTCACCTGTCGCGTCAAGAATCCGCGTGAGACGTTTCGGAGTTGGGACTATGCGGTGCATTGATGTGATACGAGGACCACGGCGTTGACTTTTGAGCAATGCTTAACATCTTGATAAAAAGATGATTCATTTTAGGCCTCTGCTGCACCTATGGCATCGGAAATTGAATCGGAATGGCTGTAGCCGTCAAGTTGCTACAGGAGCAATCGAAAGCACCTAGTGATACAAAGTAAACTCAGCGCTGCTGGGGTCGGCCCATCAACACGATACGCTGTGATCGATAGAAACATTACCATACGTCCAACGTACGTCGTAGGAACCGATACCTATGACATACCACGGTGGAATCTCTCGATATCGGTTAGCAAATAGTGTGATACAAGCTCAGCTGACCCGGGGCAGCAAAAGCGATACAAGCACAATCAAACCGAAATCCATTTCACATCCCACCAGCACCAAATGGGGGGGGGGGGGGGGGAGTGAGTCACCTCCCGACTCCAAGATTAAGCTTCCCCTCTTCGTGTGTCTAAATATTCGTCCCTGTTATTACCAAAGGTTGAACAGTTGCACACTACCACGCCTCTTGGACCGATCTTCAAAGATCGACCACCACACGACGAAGAAGATGCCAGCATCAAACGAACGAGACGTTTTCGGTAAGCTATCGATGAAACGGTTCCACCGCCGCCATCTTTCGGCACCATCCCTGTTTGTGCTGTGCTGCAGAGTAAACGTCTTTTTCTTGTTGCTCCAGGGGTTGTGGTACCTTCTGCATACCTACGGTATCACATCCCATCACATCATCCCGGTGTAGGCGAAAACCGAAGTCTGCGGATGTGAAGGCACGTCCTTGTGGCGAGGCACAAGAGGGTATAACCCCCCCCCCCCCCCCCCCTTTCCCTT